AACCACTACTAATCAACTAATACAGTATCAATTTTTAATGTTTTGTGTATAAACTTTAAAAATTTGTTATGATTAACGATTTTTTAAAGAAATTCTAGGAGGATCTAAAACAAAAGTATAATGCATAGTCATAGATATAACTGCTCTTTATAGGCCTTATTTTTATTTTTTTTTGTTCAAATTGCTTTTTAAAAACATCAAAATCATTTGCTGATATGCTTATACAATTTATACAGACAGGACAGGACAGCAGAGAAACATCAAAATTACTGATCTGCAAGCAAAAAAAAAAAAAAGGCCCTGGCATACCCGAAACGTACCCACGCCGTACCCGAATGAACCAAACGTATCAGACCCTCTTTTGCCATACCCGATACGCGTACCGCCGTACCCGGTACGCATACCCGCACCCGGTAAGTACCCGGTACTCGTACGGCACTATTTTTAGAGTACCTGTGCTTCATAGTATCCTGTCCATTTCTTTTCTTAATACATGATATGATGCTATAATTTCTTGGGTTTACCCTTGCAAAGAAATAATAATAAAATATTAGCTACTGTGTAGCACTAGATTTTCCTCTCTCGGATAGATAATTTCACTGCTTAATTACATAACTACTTGCGCACTGGAACAACTTTTTTAATCAATTTTCAAATACCAAACATGAATCAATAAAATGGATTTGGCAATCATTTGGATCAATATCACTGTGAAACTCCACCAGGCTTCACAGTCAAAGATTAAATGCATCATAAAAAAATGTCACTACAAGGGACTAAAAGAAAAGAGGGAAGGTAAGAAGAAGTGCAAGAATAAGACATGAACATACCTAAGGCTCTGAAGAGGAAATTTACTAGCCAAAACACAATAAGCTGCTTTGCGTACAGACTCATTCACATCCAATGTACAATTGATGATTGCCGTTGAAGTTGCAATTGAAGGAGGCAAAGATAGTGCAATTGTCTTACGAACCTCCTACATGCATACCATAACCAGGTATTCAAACAATAGTGCTCCACTTATATTCAGAATAGTAAAGTATATTTAGTAATAAAACAAATATACGGAGTCAACTTTGAATTTTCCATGTCATTTTGTATTGTACTATTTACATTTGTCTTGGGAATCAGAACATTAAACTCTTCTTTATGTATGAAAATGAAATTGTAGAAACCTTGGTAAGTATGTTTGACGAGTTCGTATTATCCATAAAATTAGTCAAATTATCAGTTTAGAACAATTAAACAAGCATCATTCTCCCAAGCTTATACAATACAAAAGAAGTACATCAAATTTTATCACATAAAAGAAAGCAGCTGAAGGTGTAGCCACCACCAAATTAGAAAGCTCACCGCATTCTGCTCTAGAGGCAGTGACTCAAGGAATAAGTCCAGGATGTCACCATTCTCAGAATCATTTACAAAGCGAGAAAGAGCTCTAACTGCAAATGTACGAATAACAGGGACCTTATCACCTATCCGCAACTTCATGCATTCAATCACCTCATCCCAGATTTCATTGCTTACTTCTGCATCGTCTGGCAATCTCATTATGATCTACAAGTGAAGAATTCAACAAAATATGTGAAGGTTTTTGATTGAGAAAATGTTGGTGTTATTTGATTCAAATAAAAATATTATTTTGCCATCTTTTTTAGATGCATTTTGACAACTAGAGGAACTAAAAGAGAAATACAGTGTACATTGCACGCACTTCTCTTATAAAAAATTGGTATTACAACAAAAGCCATACACGTTTGTTTTAAAAAATCAGGAAAACAAAGAAAGGAAAATTTTAAGTCACGTGTTTGGAACCCTTTTGGTTCCAAAAAAAAAAAAAACTTAACTCATCTAGCCAAATAGGCTACTTGCCTCAATATTTCATCTACCCATATCCCAACAAATGAGGAATCTAAGATTAAGATAAAATATCTTAATCAACATTATTGATTCAACTAGCATTTTTCTTTCCCCTTTCGCTGCATAAAACTTGACTTAGTATCAAGTCTGATTGATAAAACCACTACATTGCAGGTGTACATGAAGACCACTTTGCTAGTGCAACCAGAAAACTGCTACAACACACAACATAAAATGACGGACCTGAGTTTTGATCCATTAAGGCATACTTCAAATCCTTCACCAATTCTTTCATGAAATCTTAGTTTGATGAATACAGAGCTAAAAATGAACTCCAATCATTCAATCAAACTCATATCAAAACAAGGGAGATGCACAATTTTCATCAAATCAAGGACAAAGCAAATCTTCATCAAATTTCCAACAGTGATATTTTCACTCAAATTTGATGAAATCTTATAAAGAATAAGGATTGGAAGTGATTTTGACATAAAAAGTGGTTAAAACAGGTTGTGACGGTATGTTCAGAATTTTTCAAAAGATTTGATTAAAAAAATAATAAAGAGTAAGGATTGGAGTAAGCTTTTAACCAAATTTCACTCAAATTTGATGGATAAAAAAAAGGGAGTAAGGAATGCAGATGCTCTTAGAAACTTTAAATTTAAATAATTCCAGGATTTAAAAAATTCAACATTTTGAAACTTCACAACCAGCCATGTTCAAAATGAATTCTTTCACTTTCTACAAATCAAAATAAATAAAAGCAAAGACCTAAGATTCGAACTTGACTGTGATTTCAATAATTTCCTTCAGATCTGACCATAACGAAAACATGAAGTACATAAAATTAGTACCTCAGAGATAATCTGACAGGCGCGGAACCTGACGGTTCTGTTGGCGGCGGAGGTGGCAACGAGGAGGAACCGCAGGAGCGAATCCAAGAAGGAATCGGAGAGGGGCGCATTGTTCGAGTCTCGATTGCTTGCGAAGATGGCGACAAACCTAACAATTCGTTCGGAGGAGGCGTTGCGGCGCTGGAAATTGAAGAGAGGGGTTAGGGTTTTGGAGAATGCGGAGAAGAATAAGAGTGGAGACGATGAGCGAAGGGTGGAGAGGTCCTTGAGCTTCCGGATGTGTGTGGCGTGCGATGCTCGAGTTTCGTCTAAAACCCTAGCGATCTTCTGCATCATTCTCTTCTCTGCTTCATTTTCGGCCTGGATCGCCATTGCAGATGTTTCTACAGTTTTCTCTCTCTGTCTCTCTCTCCTGTCCTGTCTTGTGCTGTTCCGGGTCTCTGATTTGCCCCAAAATTTTATTTGAATTCGAGCGGGAATAATTTCGGGACTTTTCCCATATTAAGCCTCTTTTGCATCTTATTTTCTAAATTAGGTTTAGTTTAGACGGATTTTTCAAACTCAGCTAAAGCGTTATTATAAATCGCGCTTTCACTGTTTGGAGCCTAAAATATGATGAATAGTGAAAGCGCTATTGCAAAACGCACTTTTAATTAAGAAATCGCTATTTCAAATCGCGCTTTTAGCATAAAATTTTTTTTCTGAAGAAAACGTTATTTGAAATCGCGCTTTCACTGTGCGTATAAATTTTTTTTTTTTTAGAAAACGTTATTTCAAATAACGTTTCTACTGTCAACACAAACCAAAACATATTTTCCCAAACCTCTCTGGCTATCTCCAACAGTACATCAAATTATGCATCAAATTTGAAATTTGATGAAAGATCACTTTTCCTCTCTCTAATGGTTTCACTAAATTGATATCAAATTGAAAATTAAACAAAAAAAATTTACCAAACCGAGAATGCGCTGAGTCATTCACTAAAACACTATTCATTATCGTTGTATTTTCTTTACCGGATGACCAATTTTGTGCAAAATTTTGTACAGATTTTACGTTGGGAGGTTGACCACCTGGTCGACCCCAGGGTCGACCCCCCAAATGACCCTCAAGCTTGAAAATTAAATTACAAAATTGTACAGATTTTGCTATTTCTAGACGTTTGGTACGTTTTGATGAAAGTTACAGTACACCATTGGAATGATTGATATCAAATTAAGCCAAATGCCTTTTTTTTACTCAAATTTTGTGAAAAATTTGTTCAGCCGTTGGAGATGCTCCCACATGAGTGAGTGATTCACATATATGTGGATTTGTGTAAGTCTCACCTCATGTGAAAGATTTTGTAGAATATTTGAGATGCATAGCATCTCTCTTTTTTCCTTGCTCTGGCTGCGGCCTTTTGTTCACCCAACAAAAAAAAAATTAAGAGGTGTTGATTTTTTGAAAAAATATTCATACGTCTTGTTTGAAATATGTGTACACTATTTAGGGGTCGTTTGGTTTTTCTCATGGGACTAAAAAATCACAAAAGGACAAAAAAAAATTACAAAATGACAAAAGAAAAGTCAAAAAATCACAAAAGGATAAAAAAAAATTGTCATTCTAAAGCCAAAAAATCAAAAAAAAAGCCAAACAATAATCCCAAACAACCAAAAGAGTCACAAGCTAAAAAAGTCAAAAAAGTAAAAAAAAACAACTAAAAAAGTTATTGCCAAACGAGCACTTAACCCAACAACTTTTTGAGTAGATCCAAAAATTCTACTTTTCCTCTCTCTCTCTCTCTCTCTCTCTCTCTCTCTCTCTCTCTCTGTTTTTTGCCCCATTCTTTATGTTTTCCTCTCTCTTTTTTTTTTTCTACGTTTTCCTCTCATTTTTGTGTTGTCATGATTGATGATCACACATTTCTTATTCTCTTTCTCTTTCTAATATGTAGTCACCGACGGGCAACGATCACCATTGATTGGGGTTCACCAGCAACTACCAACCATCGACATCAACTCGTGACTTCATTCTCACTGACGGCAAAAAAAGATGAGTAGATCTACTCAAATTTGATGAGTAGATCTACATGAGATCCGACTAGATGTAAATAAAAAAATAGTTGTTCGAGTATAATATTCTTTCTATATCTATTCTTTCCTTCGATTTCTCAATTTTTCTACATTTTCTCTGTTACACAAGTCTATTTTTCTGTTTTAATGGATAAAATTTTCAAATTTTGAATAAGTTGTTTTCGAGTATCAGGCCTCGTTTGGGAATCCTCTCATTTGGCCAAAAAATCAAAAAAGTTACTCAAAAAGCCAAAAAGCCAACAACCCATACCAAAAAGTCAAAGATTTTCGTTACTCTCTACTTTTTGCACATCTTTTCGTAAATAGCCAAAAATTCATCCCAAAATACTAATTTTTTTTAGCTCATATTTTAGCCAAATAGCCAAAAAATTACTAAATTAGCCTGTTCCCAAACGAGGCCTTAGTTACAAGCGGTGAAAACTGTAAAATTTTGCAGTATCAATTTTTTTTGGTGCTAGAATAAATCATGGTTTAAAACTGCAAAATTTTGTAATTTCATAAAATTCTTTAGAACTGTAAAATTTTACAGTTTAATAACATATTTTAGAATTGTAAATTTTTGCAATTTCATAACATATTTTTCAGTTTGATTAATAAGAATAATAGATTTTTGCTCTGACACTGTAACATTTTGTAGTTTCAAAACTTGTTGTTCAGTTTGATCAATATTGGAGATTATTCACTTAAGTACTACAAAAATTCAAAAATAACATATATTTTTCCCATTGTCGCTGTTTTTTGTCACTATATATTTTTTTTCTTTTAGTTTATCAATATTTAGCACATTTTGCTATGTTTTTTCGCTCTTATTTCTCCATTTATTCTTTTTTTTGGGGGCAATATTCTGGACATTCCAGTGAGTCTTCAATGATATTTTTAACGTCCAGCGAATGTTTTGGACATTCCGGTGACTTCCATTGGCGTTCATAAACAGTCCGGTGAACTTCCGGCGATTTCCTGGTGATGTTGAACATTCCGGCGAGTCTTCGATAACCGTCTAATGGAAGTTTGACGGTAGTGGATGTAACAGCATCTATAAATTTTTTTAAGAAAAATATATATATATATATATGATTTTTTTGTAACAATTAAAAATATATAGGACTAATTGGTACAAGTATTTTGTTTTAGGATTATATAGGTTTTGAATTTTGTATATGGGACTTATTGGTAAGTTTCTCTTGATTTTTTATAAAAACGTAAATATGAGTTAAGTTTGTAGGGATGTGATGGAGAGGTGATGTAGTAACTAAAATAAGATAATTGTGACCCAAATAACATGTGTTATTTTAGCACATGCCAAATACCCTTTAAGTATATTTTTTAACTTTTTTATGAAAAGATATAAAAATAAATAAAATTGAGACATGATGTAATCCAAAAAAATACAAAAGCATAAAAAAAAGTGTACTAAAATAGATTATGCCAAATAGTGCCATAATTTTTTAAGAGAAAATTTCATTTTTATCCCTATACTTTGCTTCAATTTTCAATTACACCTCCAAACTTTTAATAATTTCAATTTTATCCCCAAAATTTTTGAAATTGTATCAATTTTGCCCGTACTGTCACATTTGAAACGAAAAAAATAAAAAAATTATATTTTGACCCCAAATTTGAAAAGAAAGATTCAGACCCACCATCTCTTGCCCCCAAACTACTACCACCAGCCACCACTGCAAGCCCTTTTATCTCCTTCACCATAACTTCATTTTGCCTCATTTTTACATCGTTTAATTCACCTCATGACCTAGTTTTCGTATCACCTCTCACACATCTCATTCTTCCTCCTTTTGCATGCCATCGGAGCTCCGAAAGTTGATTAAAAAATAAGAATTTTCTTCCAATTTTCTGACTCAATTTTTGATGGTTGTACTTCATTCTTTCACTTTCTTCTTCACCTCACTTTTTACTTCATCCTACATTACCTCACTTCTTCTTGTAATGGCTGGTTTTAGTATGTCAAAGGTTGTCCAAAAACTAACTTCAAAAATTTCGAAGCATTCATCTTTTGTTTCTTTCTCATCAATCTTTCTCATTCTTCTTCACTTATAACATGATGTCAAGCATGGTTCTAGGTGGTAACGGAACTAGTGATACTGGTGGTGGCGATGGTTCGGCGATGACGGCAGAGCTCGCAATGATGGTGATCGTGGAGCTTGATGGTAATGGTAACGGAACTTGGTTGTGAATGATGTGGTTTGGTGTTGAAAAGTGGTGGTTATGGTGATGCTCATGGTGGCAGTAATGGAGTTTGGTAGCACTGAAGTTGGTGGTTCGGATAGTGATATTGGTGAAGTTAATGAAGGCGACGAAGTTGATGAAAAGAATGGTCACTGCCAAGTTCTTTAAGAAACTTATTTGTGCTTTGAAGAGTTTTCTGACCGAATTGTGAAAACAATTTAAAATATTTCAAGTTTCATATAAATAATTCCTACATTCATAAAATGATTGGGTATGGAGGTGGGTTTATGTTAACTGTGGTGGTGACATACTTTCTCTCTAACAAAAATAGCGGTGGGTTTTGATAATGGATTTGTGGTGATGTTGGAGGTTGGTCTAAATAGTGTTGGATATGATGGATTTAAAGGTGGTTTAGTGTTGGTATGAGAATGGTAGGTGGAAATGTTTGGGAATGAGGGCATTGGCATTGCAGTTGATGTTTGAGAGGGAGAGCATTTGATGGCATTTGATCTCATCTCTTCATCAACTTCATCACATTCATCAACTTCACCAACATCATCACCTGAACCACTAACTTCACAGCCACCAAACTCGATTACCGCTACCATGAGTATCACCATTAGCATCACCTTTCAACACCAAACCCATAGCATCCATAATAAAGTTCCATTACCACTACCATCAAGCTCCACGACCACCATCACTGTGAGCTCCGCTACCATCGTTGAACTACCATTACTACCATCACTAGCTTCATTACCACCTAGAACCATGCTCAATATCATGTTATAAGTGAAGAAGAACAAGAAGAAGGAGAAAAAGAGGAATGAGTAAGATTGAGGAGAAAGAAACAAAATATAAATGTTTCTAAATTTTTGAAGTTAGTTTTATAACAATTTTGGCATATCAAAATCGCCCATTACACGAAGAAGTAAGAAAGTGAAGTAGTGTGGAACAAAATAAGAAGTGAGGTGAAGAAAATGGCGAAAGAATGAAGTAGAACCGTCAAAAATCAAGAAAGATATGAAATCCAAAAGATGGCTCGAAGAAAAGTCAGAAATGGGAATAAAAGTTTTATTTATTTGTTATTATTATCAAATTTCGAAACTTCAACGACATGCAAAAAAAGAAATTACAAGACATGTGAGAGGTGATACGAAAACTAAGCCATGAGGCGAATCCAACGATATAAAAATAAGACGGAATGAAATT